ACGGTCACCGGTACGACACTGTGTGTGTGTGTGTGTGCGTGTGTGTGTGTGTGTGTATGCGTGTGTGTGTGAGTTTGTGTGCCCGTGTGTGTGTGATGTGTGTGTGTGTGTGTGTGTGTGTGTGTGTGCGCGGGAGCGTGAGGGAGCTACGCTGCGCGGGAGCGTGCGCGCGCGTGAGAGAGAGAGAGAGAGAGAGAGAGAGAGAGAGAGAGAGAGAGAGAGAGAGAGAGAGAGAGAGAGGGGGGTGTGTGTGTGTGTGTGTGTGTGGGGGGGGGGGGGGGGGGGGGGGGGGCGACCCTCCCCCAACCAACCAACTAATCAATCAATCAATCAATCAATCAATCATCAATCATTTAATCAATCAATCAATCAATCAATCATCAATCAATCAATCAATCAACCAATCAATCAATCATCAATCATTTAATCAATCAATCAATCAATCATCAATCGATCAATCAATCAATCAACCAATCAATCAATCAATCAATCAATCAACGAATATTTTTTTTTCTATTTTTTTAATTAATTTTTTCACTCATCAAAAATCACCCCCCCCAAAAATATATATATATATATTTTTGAATGCGCAGTCCTCTAGAGGAGGACGTGCGCAGGCCGAGACGGCGCACCCATTTCCCGCGCGCGCCCCCACTGGGCCGTGGCGTGGCCGTGCGGGAACTCCGCCGCACGGCTCGGACTGGGTCGCAGGATCCGCGGCCCAGGGTGCCACGTAGCACTTGACGACATAATCCCATTTTCTATTGGTGGCAAGGTGTATCGTATCCACACAGCCCACAAACTTAGGCCATGGTGTGTTAAGTGTCAGGCCTATAGGCACCTGTACATGGACACAGTCTGTACATTCCATTCCTCGCGGGCTACTCGACCTACGGGGCGCCTGAGGAGGGACCCCTTTGATAAGACACGATGGCGCACTGTCGACCCCGGCCACGAAGGCTGGGTATACATTGACACACCGAAGGAGGAAGGGGCGGGGGTGGTAGGATGGTCATGGGAGGGGCAAGGGGATCCCAGACACGAGACTAGACCCTCGGATGGTTGCCCCCCCCCCAAATCGCTGGAGGCTCATTTGGAGAGGCCTGCCCCTCTTCCCCCTCACAACCCAGAAGAGACAACAGGGAAGGGAGGTGCAGATGGGAGTAAAAGACATAAGAAGATGGACTCTTGAGAAATAGTCAAAGGGAAAGGGAGGAAGGATAGCCAGGTATTAGCGGCATGAGTAAAGAAGGGGAGAGGGGAACCATGCCAAAGATTGGGGAGAAAGGAAACTGCTTTGCTCCGCTGACGGACAAGTCGGGCGGGGGAGAAGGTACTGGGGTTCACAATGAAGTGAGGAGAGAAGGGGGTTGAAGGAGCCAAGGGAGTGAAGACTCGACAGTCCCGAGGGACATGAACCCCTCCAAGGACCGGTACTGACCGGCGGGCTGCTCGGTGTGGCACAGGAGGCTGGACGGGTTGAGTTGTGGGCTGAAATCGCCAGAGGAACCAAGCTGATCGCGTCGTCCTGTCTGCGACATTAAAGAATTCTTGCAAAGTTTGGGGGATCTTCTTAAATACCTCCTGATCAGCTCTTGGTTCTGTAGTGACAGCCTTAGAGTAGTCTTGGGTTAGTTGTGATCATCATTGACA